TCACAAAGTACTGAACAGAAGTACACAAAGAACAAAACATGTCAGCACATCCATGTTCATTCAAAAGCAATATTAAAAAAAAAAAAAAAGCTCAACCAAGTCTGCAGACAACCAGAGCAAGGGGAGTTTCAGAGTCCTGGTGCAGATGCTGAGAAGCTCTTCAGCCAACGTTTCAGCTTTGAATGTGATATAACCAGCAGGCCTTGGTCACATGACCTCAGGGATCTGCAAGAGATGTACGACTGTGCTTGACTAGTCAAGACCTTCTAGGCAGGAGTTGCATATAATAATGTACTCTTGAGCAGATGGGGAGCCAACGGAGCTGCAATGTGAGTGGTATAAATAGTATGTTTTTATATCTAGAAACCCCAAGGCACTTTAAAACACAACAGTCCTTCATTCACTCACTCACACACATTCACACACTGGTGGTGATGAGCCACAAGGTAGCCAAAACGGCCCTGGGATCAACTAACAGAAGTGAGGCTGCCATTCACACATAAGAGATTTTAAACATGCGTAGAATTTGGTCATTTTACTCTTTTCATGTTACACTGTCAGAAGCATATTAAAAATCCAGGCACACCACAGCTTGGTTCCTCCTCCTCCGGTTGGTCATCAGACACTCTCCTTTGGATTCTTTGCTAGAAAGCAGAATTCATGGTTTTGTAAATTACAGCAACTCGCTCACACTGTTTACAGTGGGGATGGGGAGCTGCTGATGTCAACTGGGACTATAGTCAGACGGTGGAAGGAATATTTTGAGGAGCTCCTCAATCCCACCTATGCGCATTCCGAGGAGGAACCAGAGCCGGGAGACCTGGGGATGGACTGTCCAATCTCGGGGGCAGAAGTTGCTGAGGTAGTCAAACAACTACACCGCGGTGGAGCCCCGGGGCTGGATGAGATTCATCCTGGGTATCTCAAGCCTATGGATGTTGTAGGGCTGTCATGGTTGACACGTCTTTGCAACATTGCGTGGTCATTGGGGGCAGTTCCTGTGGAGTGGCAGACCGGGGTGGTGGGCCCCATCTTTAATAAGGGTGACCTGAGGGTGTGTTCCAACTATAGGGGGATCACACTCCTCAGCTTCCCTGGAAAGGTCTACTCCAAGGTACTGGAGAGGAGGGTCCGATCGATAGTTGAATCCCAGATTGAGGAGGAGCAATGTGGTTTTCGTCCTGGCCGTGGAACTGTGGACCAGCTCTATACCCTTGCAAGGGTGATGGAGGGGGCATGGGAGTTTGCCCAACCAATCCACATGTGTTTTGTGGATTTGGAGAAGGCTTATGACCGTGTCCCCAGGGGCACCCTGTGGGGGACGCTCCAGGAGTATGGGGTGGGTGGCTTTCTGTTAAGGGCCATTCAGTCCCTTTACCAGAGGAGCGTGAGTTTGGTCCGCATAGCCAGTAGTAAGTCGGACCTGTTCCCGGTGAGGATTGGACTCCGCTAGGGCTGCCTATTGTCACCGGTTCTGTTCATTACCTTTATGGACAGAATTTCTAGGCGCAGCCGTGGTGTGGAGTGTGTCGAGTTTGGTGGCAGGAGAATCTCGTCTCTGCTTTTTGCGGATGATGTGGTCCTCCTAGCTTCATCCAGCTCTGACCTTCAGCTCTTGCTGGGTAGGTTTGAGGCCAAGTGTGAGCCGGCTGGGATGAGGATCAGCACCTCCAAATCTGAGACCATGGTTCTCGACCAGAAAAGGGTGGCTTGCCAACTCCGGGTTGGGAGAGAGGTCCTACCTCAAATGGAGGAGTTTAAGTATCTCGGGGTCTTGTTCACGAGTGAGGGTAGGAGGGATCGGGAGATCGACAGGCGGATTGGTTCAGCGTCTGCAGTGATGCGGACGCTGAGCCAATCTGTCGTGGTGAAGAGGGAGCTGAGCCAGAAAGCCAGGCTCTCGATTTACCGTTCGATCTACGTCCCGATCCTCACCTATGGTCATGAGCTTTGGGTAACGACCGAAAGAACGAGATCGCGGATACAAGCGGCCGAAATGAGTTTCCTCTGTAGGGTGGCCGGGCTCAGCCTTAGAGATAGGGTGAGGAGCTCGGACATTCGGGAGGGACTCGGAGTAGAACCGCTGCTCCTCCGGATCGAAAGGAGTCAGTTGAGGTGGTTTGGGCATCTGGTCAGGAAGCCTCCTGGAAGCCTCCCTGGGGAGGTGTTTCGGGCATGTCCTGCCGGCGGGAGGCCCCCAGGTCTACCCAGGACACGTTGGAGAGGTTACATCTCCAATCTGGTCCAGGAACGCCTTGGGGTCCTGTCGGAGGAGCTGGTGGAGGTGGCTGTGGAGAGGACGGTCTGGAGCTCCCTAGTTGGGATGCTGCCCCCGCGACCCGGACCCGGATAAGCGGAGGAAGACGACGACGACATAAAATACAGCAAGTGGTCCTGAAGCAGCAAAGCAGCCGAGACATCACACCACCATGTTTAAATACATCACAAACAGAAGACATCTGTGAAATTATTTCACATTACTCTAGTTGTACGGTCTCCACTAAAGGGTTGGAACTTATTTTTAACACTTCATATCTACAATCACACAAAGACAAAAACAACACAGTTGTGTTTCTGTGCAGCTCTTGAGTTTCTATCAGTGTTTTTGTCTTCCTGCACATTTCATTAAAAACATTCAAGATAACTATATCAAACATCTAAAAACTGCACTGGATGGGAAGGGTTTGAGTCATTTATATGCCTGTTTAGGATGTAGTATGATGCATCTTTTAGTTTTCAACCTATTATTGTCAGCAAATCATTTGAATATGTCAAGTGCTTCGTCCTCTGTGTAACTCTCAGCCTCCTTACAAAGTAAAACATTTTTATAGATTAGTAACAAAGGAGTAAATATTCTGTAAACCAACTGTCCTTTGTCGTTTAAATCAAGAGACATGGTCTATTTGTTGGGCGCTACATTTAAGTGCTACTAAACAAAATGGTGCGCATAAAATAAACACAGTTAAAACAAACTCAGTTGTTTTTCTGTCAGGAATGTTCCATTTATGGGAAACAAATGGTTCCTTTATGTGTTTTAAATAGCTTATGGGAGCAGCACAGATTCATGTCTCTGACAAGCAAACGCTGTTTCTGTGATGAGTGTATTTTTAGAATCAGAAAGTGAAAAATACAGCCAGAATATTCACAGTTCTCAGCGTCAAAGTCTCAAGTTAAATGTTGTTTTAGATGTGTGAATTAAGATTGGTGAAAGACATCAACGTGCTTGTTAGATTCACCAAGAAAGGAAGGTGTGACGGACCTGGAGCTCTCCGTGGTGCTGAACTAGCTGCTTGTGTTACATGATCAGATACGATGACGCCCTAATCTAAAAGGAATATGCTTTTAAACCAAATTGAACAGTTTCTGTAAAATGAACACAACCAAATTTTAAGCAAACACTAAAAAATGTAACTCCTAAAGACTTTACTGACAGCTAATTGGCTAACCAGCCAATAACACAACAGCAACTCGATGTGGCAAAGACAACTCCCTGAATTCAAACCGAGCCCCAGAATGAAGAGAAAAAAGGATTTATGAGATTCTGGACTCCTCGGCCTACCTGAGTATCGTTGCTGACCACGCCCATCCCTACATGAACACATGGATCCATCTTCTGATGGCTACCTCCAGCAGGATCAAGCACCATGTCACAAAGCTGAGATCATCTCTAACTGGTTTCTACATGACCGTGAGTTTACAGGACTCCAACGACCTCCACAGTCACCAGATATAACTGGAGGTTCTCATCATGGAAAGAGGTGTGTGGTAATGTCATGTCAACAAGGACCAGTATATGGAGATAAATGGCATAAAAACTTAAGGTGGATCTGAAGTTAAAGGGGGATCCAACCTGATACTACAGATAATGAATATTTTTTTTATTTCTAAGCATTGATCAGCTTGATAATATAGATAGCATCGTCTTCCCCTGGCAAAAAGATGTAAAATTGAAATGATAGAACACTTGATCTCTGCTGAATCAGCTGGAACAATGTCTTCTTGTCTCTACTTGTGCCTCTGCAGAGATGGCAAAAAAGTTTACTTTGATATAGAAGGATTACAGATAATCTTAGCCGTATGTCAGCATGATCCTATTGTGACATAAATACCAAAAATTACTCATTTAAATAATAGTTGAAACTATTTCTATTCCAATTCTACCAAGTAGCACTTCCCCCTCTGTCCAAGATGATTTTTTAAAAATAAGCTGCAGAGAAGTGAGAAATATTTTTATTTCTTCTTCCTCTTCCTTCCCTCCTCCTCATAGACCAAACCATGCCAACATGTATAACATGGTCAGTAGTTCCTATATTGTCTTTTTGAGTGTCATAGAAGCACATCACAAAGCATTTCTGGAACTGAAGCAGATCAGAAAGCTTTTGAACTGCAGCTGAACACTTTAGAGTCCTCTTCCATGAGGCTCTGCCATCATGATGCACCTCTCCACATGAGAGTTGGAGGTCGAGGAGCACAAGACAAACACTCCTTTGGTCACATGTTTCACATTTGAACACTGTCATGGCAGTATTTGTCCTTCATTAGTCATATGATGATTCTCATAGGTGGACTCCGAGTCTAACTCTTTCTGGGCTGATGTCTGTGGTTTTGGGCTGAGTTTATTTTTAAAGCACGTTTGATGATGTCATTGTTTTTCTGCAGATGTTTCTGACTTTTGAATTATTCTGTTTTCCATCCCAATTTGGAACTGATGTTTTCAATCCATGTGCTTTTATATCTATTACAATTGCACTTAATAATAACGATATGATAATAATAACATTAATATATTATTATTATTATTATTATTATTATTATTATTATTATTATTATTATTATTATGTTCTCATATCAGATGGGTCTAATTGTGCTGCTGATCCCGGCTCAGAGGTTCTGTTTGGACCCCCCACCCCCACCCCCACACACACCATCACCACCACCCCCAACCCCCCAGTGCCCTGCCACCCCGCCGCCCTCCTCCTGCCTTTGTTCTCACCACAACAACCCCGGAGCAGATGGTGCTCTGCTTTGCTTCGCCCAGCGGTGACAGACAGGCGCTCTCAGCCAATGGCCTGCTGGGGAATCAGCTGACTGGTCTGGAGAGCGCCAGGTGTTTTCGGTTCTCTTGGTTTTTTTTTTTCGCTTTCAGTCATTTTCTCCCACATTCGCAGAGAGAGGCGCAGGCGGCGGCTGTGCGGAGGAGAAACAAACCGCAGGGTCGCGGCAGGTCGGAGATCTCTGCAGACCGCATCATGCGTGCCTCAGAGGCGCTCGGAGACTGATGGGAGACGCAGGAGAGACCTCGCTATAAACAGCCGCTGTTGGAAACGGGAATAATGTGTCAGTGCGTGGTTTGGTGAGCCCTTTCACTTGGAGCTTTCTGGTTTTTGGATACCTGGAGGAAGGAGCTGTGGACTGGAATACCAACAAGGTGAGACCGCTCAGATGATGGAAGGGCAAGATCTTCACAGCTGGGACGTTCAGTTTGTTTGGTCCTCTTGGATTAATGGGTTTTGCAGTAAATCGTACATAAGAGAATATAAATCGGTCTCCAACGGGGCGATGCAGGGAGTTGAGCGATTCAAGGTGCAGACGCACTCAAGGACATAATCCTCCAGACTAGGCTACCGTCTAGTTTAGTGCGTTTAACCGGTCGCAATATCAAATGGGACACATGAAACCCTAACTGTGCTTCAAATGATTTTTCCACAGATAGAAACTTTGATCTGTGTTGCGGCAGGCGTCTGGCAATGCCAGCGGGAGCTGCGCGCACAGCGTGTGGATGTGATTTGCATAATAATGTTAAAGTGTACCGGCAGATGTCTCGACTCCTCCGTTCTAAGAATTAAAAGTCCTGTTGAGGGATAAAGACGGGGCCCCGAGTCAGAGATGCGCTGCGAGAATGGGGTTACATTAGCGGGGGTCTATTGTGGTCCTCAAACGCTGCTTCTGTCGCTGCAGCTGTTGCGCCTTTCCAATAATGGCTCTGCTGCTGACTTGCCATCCTGAACCTGAAACAGAGCAGGGCTTCGCTGTGGAGACGTGTTCAGTTGTGTGAATCCTTTCTGGCCAGATCTCAGGTCTCGGATGGTTCTGGATCCTTTGCAGTCTGGATTCTGTTCCATCTGGTAAAAGTTTAGCCTTGTTTATTGTAAACTTCTCACACAAACTCAGAGAAGACATTTCTGCCATTCAAGGCTGTGAAGTTAATCTTTTTATGGATTTCTACTGCGAACAACCACACCAATATTGTAATAATTAGAAACGTTTACCTCTCAAAAATCACATTCCTCTTAGCAAACATGCTTTTATTTTGACACATAAAGGCTTCCTCCTTCTGAAGTCTAAACTCACAGACTTGGTGGGGTTTTAAAAACATGCAAGTATCGGTACCCTCAGATACTTTGTGGTGTCACAGTAATAGTTTTCATACCAACCTATTTCTAAGCATCTTTATTTTACTTGCCCCCTCTTTGGACATCAAGTCTCCTGCAGCAGCTTAGAGCAGCAACATCAGTGTTTTTGATTAAACAATCAAGTAGTATTTTAGACTCCATGAAATATAAAGCCTAGATCAGTGTCTGTATTTAATTCTAATATAATACATTTATTTTTATATGATAAAAGTGGCTTAATAATGTTGCTGCATGCTTTAATTGCCACTAAACAGCTCAGCTGGCTGCCTCCTTAAAACGTGAAATCTCTGTTTCCCAACTCAGTTTTAACCATGTTAATTAGTTGAGATTATAATTTTTCCATCATTTAGTAACTCTAACATATTTAGAAGCTTAAATCAGTAAAAACCTGAAGCTGACAGCAGGATTCATGCTCTCTACTCGCTGTACCACCAGCACTTATGTCCCAGGGGCATAAAGCAGACTGGGGTGGGGTGGGGTTGGGTTACACATCTCAAGCCTCATTTTTATGCCTTTAAGAAGATCTAAGCTGTTTACTTGTCCTGCATCTGAGACATGCATATGGCACTCATAGGGCTCAGGGTGTAACAGTTGAGATGTTTTCTCCTTCTGTAGAAGCACATGGAGAGGGTGACTGCAGAAGCAGACAAGCATGCAGCTGCAGAACCACAAGGAGGTATTTGGAAAGTGCCAGCCTTGATACAAATAACGTTTTAGCTTCGTGCTCGGTTAGGAACTAAATTAGGAGCCGTGAAACTTGAAAACCTGTTCCAAAGATAAATAATTTTAAGCTTTAGTGGTGGTGGGCAAACTCACCTGTCATACCCCGCACCCATGCTTTCTGTGCACACTGTTTTACTTTAGTTTCAGCGTCAGTGCCACATACAAGCATTGCACAGTTAGCATTCTGGATCATTTCTGGTGTTCTCGCGTGGTTGGAGACATTTCTAGATATGTGTTTATGGAAATATGTTAAAAACAGCTTTTAAAATGTTGGGGAGAAAAGATGCAAAGTTGTTTGATGCAATAATGAAATAAACATGATTCAATGAGTGGAGAAACACAATGTATTTATTTCTCTACATAAAAATACCAGGAACACTGTGGTGCAGCCCATCAAATAAAAAACATCATTAAAAGTACATTTAACAACGAGATATTTTGCAACTTTTTCATATTTTTAAATCATTTTCTTGAGCCAGTATGAGCTAAAATGACCGTTTACGGGGTTAATGAGAGGCCATCCAGCCCTTATCGCCTCCTGTGGCCAGAATATTCCACTTGCAACTTCAGACTGGCAGGCTGCTCTGTTGGGACTTGAGCTTGACATACCTGGCGCTGCAGTGAGCTTCCAGCACGTCTTCTGCATGTTTTAGATCATGAACACCGCTGATTTGTTTAGTTTAATGGTGAATCGTTCCTGTAGACACTAATAAAGGCTGAGGAGACATTTCAGATGTTAGATTAAGGTGCTAAAACGACAAATGCACATCGAGGAGATAAGTTTTGGTGTTGGTTCTGCAAACGGACACTAGGGGGTGCTAAAAGCAAGCCAAAACTGCCTCTCTTTAATTGTGATCTGTTTTCATGTGATTAATTTTCCTTTCTTTATGTTTTAAACGACTACCTTCATAAACAAAGTCTTGATCATAAACAAGCTTTGTGTTAAAAACAAAGTTTTTACAGCAGAGGTTTCCCAATCATGTAACACCTAAAGTGTCCATTTTCAAGTGACTGCAGTTATCGGTTGATGTGAGCTGGTGGAGTTGAGCTGTTTGGTCATGGACAAACAGCGCTGCAGACAGAACGCTTAGTCAGAGAAAAGTTAGAACTAGAACCACATGAAGGAACATCTCCAGATGCTCTGCAGAGCTAGACGGGACGATGATGTGAAAAACACGATTTCTTTTTAAGAAAAGAAAATTGGCCATTTTCTGATTAACTTTGATGTGCTGACATCCTTGGGCTGACTTTTAAAAGCCTTCTAATAGATTCATAAATTAGAAAACATCTAATGTATTCTGTTGATCACAGTTCTAGTTTTATAGCAATCAGATTTGGCAAAAAATCTGCTCGGTGGGCTCATAAACAGAACCAGTTGGAAAACACACGGCAGCTTTTTCTCATAGTCAGCACTTATTATAAATAAGTGTCTACATTCGTCTTGTAATAACACCATGACCAGAGGACCGTATGAATAAACAAACTCTGTGCATGAGCCTTGATAGCATGCAGCGATTTCCTCAGGTGTCTGTTTGGGCACACCCATGATAATTTAAATGCTCAGCCAGGTAATTTCGTTGGGCATCATGGAAAAGGTGTGCTCTACCACAGGAGGAGGCAATTTCATTTTATCAAGCTGCAGGAAATAAATCATCAAGGAGCACAGCCAGAATCTGCAATGCGGTGGCAAAATCACCCACAGATCTTGGTAAATTTACCTAGAACTCTGACTTTCAAAATAAGATACATTTTATGACTAATTACTCTTACATTTCCCCAGATTTAGTGTTATTGCCCAGATTAGAGAACCACACGAACTTATTGTTGTTCAAGTGTTGACTTGAATATGGTAAATATGGTAAATGTCATAGTAAAAAGATAAAGCACCTTATAGAGTCCTGGAACCCCCCAAGGCACTTTACAACACAATCAGTCATTCACCCACTTACACACACATTCACACACTAATATATATATATATATATATATATATATATATATATATATATATATATATATATATATATATATATATTTGTACAGTGGTGTGAAAAACTATTTGCCCCCTTCCTGATTTCTTATTCTTTTGCATGTTTGTCACACAAAATATTTCTGATCATCAAACACATTTAACCATTAGTCAAAGATAACACAAGTAAACACAAAATGCAGCTTTTAAATGATGGTTTTTATTATTTAGGGAGAGAACAAAATCCAAACCTACATTGCCCTGTGTGAAAAAGTAATTGCCCCCCTTGTTAAAAAATAACCTAACGGTTGTGTTTCACACCTGAGTTCAATTTCTGTAGCCACCCTCAAGCCTGATTACTGCCACACCTGTTTCAATCAAAAAATCACTTAAATATGAGCTGCCTGACACGGAGAAGTAGACCAAAAGCGCCTCAAAAGCTAGACATCATGCCAAGATCCAAATAAATTCAAGAACAAATGAGAACAAAAGTAATTGAGATCTATCAGTCTGGTAAAGGTTATAAAGCCATTTCTAAAGCTTTGGGACTCCAGCGAACCACAGTGAGAGCATTATCCACAAATGGCAACAACATGGAACAGTGGTGAACCTTCCCAGGAGTGGGCGGCCGACCAAAATTACCCCAAGAGCGCAGAGACAACTCATCCGAGAGGTCACAAAAGACCCCAGGACAACTTCTAAAGAACTGCAGGCCTCACTTGCCTCAATTAAGGTCAGTGTTCACGACTCCACCGTAAGAAAGAGACTGGGCAAAAATGGCCTGCATGGCAGATTTCCAAGACGCAAACCACTGTTAAGCAGAAAGAACATTAGAGCTCATCTCAGTTTTGCTCAGAAACATCTCAATGATTGCCAAGACTTTTGGGAAAACACCTTGTGGACTGATGAGACAAAAGTTGAACTTTTTGGAAGGCAACTGTCCCGTTACATCTGCTGTAGAAGTAACACAGCATTTCAGACAAAGAACCTCATACCAACAGTAAAATATGGTGGTGGTAGTGTGATGGTCTGGGGTTGTTTTGCTGCTTCAGGAACTGGAAGGCTTGCTGTGATAAATGGAACCATGAATTCTACTGTCTACCAAAACATCCTGAAGGAGAATGTCCGGCCGTCTGTTCGTCAACTAAAGCTGAAGCGATCTTAGGTGTTGCAGCAGGACAATGAACCAAAACACACCAGCAAATCCATCTCTAAATGGCTGAAGAACAACAAAATGAAGACTTTGGAGTGGCCTAGTCAAAGTCCTGACCTGAATCCTATTGAGATGCTATGGCATGACCTTAAAAAGGCGGTTCATGCTAG